TTTTGGGGGGGGGGGGGGGGGTTCCACCTTCCGGGGGAGGGCAAATTCCGCCCCCCCCAGGGGGGGGGGGGGGGGGGGGGCCCATTTTTCTTACCCGGGGTTTTTGGGGTTTGGAAAGGGAAATGGGGGGGGGGTTTGTTTGGGTCCCTTTTGGGGGGGGGATGTGGGTTTTTTGGTTTTTTTTTTCGGCCCAACCCCATTGGGGTTGGTGGGGGGAAAAAGGGTTTCTTAGCCCCTCCCCCCCCCCCCCCCCCCCCCCCCCCACGATTAAGAAAGCAAATCGCGTTCAACCGTCGGGTATCATGTTCCTCAGTAGCGCAGAATTACTGCACCACTGCACCAAGCGGTGCACGTCATTCCAACAAGTCCCAGTCGACCAGAAGCTTAAAATACCTTAACCAGAGGGTATCGAAAAAGCCAGTGGCTGCCTGTGCCCTGCTATATTTGCAAGCGTCGTCCGCTTTGCGTCGTGCCTTGAGCTGCCCTGGCCTGGCCTCTCACCCTGCACCCTTTTCCTGTAGGTGGGCCGGTGGTCCCTTTTAGGGCGTGACTGCCGTGGAGGCGTGTTTGTGCTGAGAAATTTTGTTCTCTTTTTCTTTCGGGAGGCTAGGTTGCACACGTGATACCTCAGAGCTTTCCTGTTCGGGGATGGCATGAGTACCATATAGAACACAAGATAGGACATCCCCTGGGCCGATTTTCAAAGCTCGATTTTATCACTGGCAGAAAGAGCCACAGCGCCCAAAATGGCGGCGTTGAAACCGTCTGGTGGAGAGCTCTCCGATACCGTATCGTTTCGTTTATGCATCCTTTTCGTTGTGGACTAGTCGACCTTTGAAATCGGTCCAGGGGGTGTTTTTTCTTGTGTCGTATATGGTAAGACCATAGGTACTGGTGGCCAGCGAGCGCGAGGTATGGATTTTTCCTTCTACACAAAATGAGTCGTGCTGCCCCCTTTTTCCAAAAACCCTTTGCGGAAATCCCCATCCCACGATGAGCCAATCAATCGCGCTGCTTCATCCACCAACACGCAAACACCGAAGCGAACCCAAACCTTGTCGATTGTTGCCCCGCGTGCGTCGCTCGCGCGTTCAGGACAAGACTTGGCTGGAGCGCACGAGCGAGACCGTCAAGGGTTCCGTGGGGACCGGCCTAGACGCCGTTCAGCGCCGCCTTGGGAGAGGAGCGGCGGGCGGGGGAGAGGATGACCCTCGTTACCTTGCGCATAGCGGCGGCGGCGATGTGCGTTGTTGCTTGTTTGTGTGAATGTTTTTATTGTTAGCATCGACCGCCTAACCGGCTGACCAATGAAAAAACGACGGTTTCAGTGCGGTTGAAAACACGAAACACTTCGAATTGCCATTAACTGGGACCCCGTGAGGGGGCGGCATGTGTGTGTTTGTGTGTGCGTTCTTTTTTCGTTTCCGGAGATTTGGTTGCCCTCTCTGAGGCTTGGCTTGCTGCGGCGTCATGTTATTCGTGCAGCAGCTGCTGCTGCTGCTGTGTTTGGTGTTGTCGGAACTGTGGGTGCTGACGATTGTTGGCCTGTGTCACAAGTCCGTCCAGAAGTGTCCCTGTTTTTGTCACTACGATGTTGACGGTCAAGATCTGCTGCGGTTTCTTGTTCTCTGGTGGAACTGGTTCCTCTATCCCCGGCTCTACCGAATGCTCTCACAGCAGTACCAGTCGATCCGCCTTTCCACGCAAAGTGACTCTCCGCTGCTGAACTCAAACTGCAAGCCGGTCCCGCTGTACCCTCCTGCTGATCGCTCTACAGGGGTTCCACAGTGGCTCTTACATGAGCAACCGAGGATCTAACGCCCCGTACGGTGGAGGAGGGGGCCGAGGCGGCGGGTACCGGTCAGAGGTGCGCCTGTTGCGGAACCCCCCCCCCCCCGGCATGTTTGTTGTTCATATTCATGTCGAGTCCGTTTGTTGTGCGTGGGCCAAGGCGTTGGTGTCGAGATGGTTCAATCGCTTGTTGAGCGCAGCGTAAGAATGCGGCAATCCAGCACACAGGGGGAAGGCGGGGGGTGGAAGGGAGGCAGCAGCCAATTGTCCCAAGGGTCGAAAGAGAAGGCGTTTTTGTCCGTTGTTTCTTCTCGTGACTTGTGTAGCCCGTTTCCCGAAAAATAAGCAGAGGCCTCTGTTCCGAAAAAGCGCTGTGCTGGAGGTGGATCCTAAGAACCGAAACGAGCACGGAGTATCAATCAATGATGCCCACCTTTAGTTAATGATGTTTCCTCTTGCACCCCGTGAAACGTAGCTCATGGACCCCGCTCTACCCCCCCTTCCCTTCTTGCTTCGCTACGCTGCTGTGATCGGTGGTGTGTGCTGGTCGCATTTGCGGGGGTCTCGCCCCGCCACGAGCAGGCGGTGTCGAGCGCATACGAGAACGCCAGGGCCAGCAGCCAGGCGTACGCTTCGCAGTGGAATCAGGGCGCTTCTTCTGGCAGGTGGCCGGAGCTTTTTCTTATCCTGTTGCGGGTGGTGTCCGTGGCTCCCGTTTGGGCCTGTCCTTGGGGCCCTCGCCTGTCAGACACAGCAGTGGTTACACATTGATAGGGAATCTTTTACGCCTCTGATTGGTCGGGCGTTGGTTCTGAACGGTGGGTTATTCTCGCTGTTCCACCAGGCCGTGCGTTGGCCGTGGGTGAGGGTGAGCGTAAGCTTTCGTTTGGGTTGAGTCGGCCACGGTGTGTGATTCATCCCTTAGCGGAGCCGAGCCTGTAGGTTCAACGTTCGGTTAGGCCTAAATAATCCCTATCAGTGCGTATCCAAGTATCGTCAGACAGCCGCCTTAGCAGCTATTTTCGAGGCGTGTTGCCTCCCCCGCCCCAAACGTGGTGTGTGTCTTGTGGAGCAATTCTTGAGCTTTTGTATTCGGTTATTTTTCATGTCATGTTCAAATATACACACTCTTGCGTGATACCATTGTTTTTTCGCAGGTTTTTGCATCACGTCAGCCAAGAGCCAGCTCGCGTTTCTCCTTCACGTCGTATGTCGCGGCGCCCCTCCTGTGCCACGACCTTTTGTCTTTTCCCACTTCAAGACCACAAACGCTGCATCTTTTGTAACTTTTTTTTTTGTGCATGTCTTGTTTTCTTGATGCCGTGCTTTGCTCTGTCGTAACAGCGGTGGAGGAGCAACCACCGGAGGCGTTCGAGGCGTGTGGGGGGACAACCCAAGCTCGTCCAACAAGACCTCCACCGCCGCCCCGCCTCCTCAACACCAAGATGACGATGGAAGAGCAAGGGCCGTGGGAGAAGGCGGCGGCGCCGGCGCCGGGGGTGGAGGAGTCGGGAACGGGGGGTTCGTAGGGAGAACGGGGGGGGGTGCCGCTGATGGGGGATACGAGGGGAAGCTGGTGGAGGAGATCTGCGCCGCGGCGGGGACAAAGTCCACCCCCGGAAAGGTAGGTGTGCTTGATTTTGCCGGTTTGTTGGGGTCCACGACACACACACACACACACCCGGAGGATGTGTTGGGGAGCGGTTAGGGTGGATGAAGGAGCGCACGGTGACAGCGGCGATTTGCTCCGGAATGCCTCTTTTTGAAGCACTCGATAAAGCTTCTTCATTTGAAGCACTCGAAAAAGCATATTTTGAAACCCTAGAGGAGCCAGAGGTAGCTAGAATAGCGGGGGTTCGTAATGCTGCCCACCGGAATCAAGACGTGCGACCTCGGGGTGCAAAGAGTTGCAGAAAGAAATTCCCCGTGCGCAACGCCGCTTGTAAATTGTTGCAACTTTTTCCCTCGACGAGTCCGAGAAGTTGAAGGCGGCAATGCTTCTAGTTGAAGGATTAGACTCACGAAGAGCACGCGTATCGCTGCGCGTTTGTTTGGTACCCGAAGAAGTTGGTCATGTTTGTCTCTTTTTTCTCAACTCTCTTTTTGTCTTTTCCGCTCCTTTCGGAACGTTCAAACATCCACCCCTTCTCCTGAACCACATGTGCCACACACAAGCAAGAATATCGTGCACGTCCACACTGCGTTGTTCTTGAATACTTTCTTGTTTTCGTGCGATCAACACATATTGCTTTTGAACATTGTTGGTTTTCCCCTGCTTTTCGCTCCGTCTGTTTCCGTCTTTTCCAACCCTCCCGCCGCATCGCCCGGCGCCCCGTCTTGCGCCGCCGAACAGCCAGAGCTGGACGCCTTCCTGTCGAAGGCGGCGAGCCTTGACACCGGGAGGGTGGCCCAGGCGTTGCTGGTGGCCCTAGAGGCTGCCGACTGGAGGTCCAGAAGCAAGGGATTGGCTGTCGTAGAGGTGTGTTGTGGCGTACGGCAGTTCTGCGGTGGGGGGGGGTGTACTCATGTAAACGCATGCCTTGACCTGGCATGCCGGGACGGAGCCGTATGGCGGTTTTTGTGGAGGGGGCGCGGGAGTGTACTCGTAGCCGTGCAATGCCGTAGTCGCTGGGCCAATGACCTCGCACCCCCACAACGTCGGGACGGAGCGATATGCCGGGGGGTTTGTTGTGATCGGGGAGGGGGGTGCTGTGCCTCTCGTCCGGTTTATGTGGGGCGTGGTTTGGTTGCTCGTTTATTCCCGGCCTCTTGGTGTAGATTTGTCTGCTTCTCTCGCAATGCGTAGCCAACGCCCTTTTTGTCTTGATCTTTTCGCACAGCTTTTCTTGTTTACTCGCTCTGCTGCCCCTCTCTCTCTTGTTGGCTTGAGGAACTGGCATCTAAAAAAATGTACGTCCCCGTTGTTTGAACTGGTGCATGCTGGTGCACGTGTGACCCTTGCTCATTTTACCAAAGGTCGTTTTTTCATTCACGGATGGCACGAAAACGCATCTACTGACGAACGCACAGACTTTGTGGCAGCGTGTTTGGCATCGATGTTTTCATCTGTGCAATAGCCATCAGAAGATATGTTTCTGTTTAATAGCCATCAGGCAGTTTTTTTTTTTCGGGACGCTCATGAAGATCGTGCGAGTTCCTTGTTGAAGTTTGGTCCTGCGCTGTTGTTGTTCGTGGCAGGCGCTGCACCGATCGGACCCGAGCTACCGGATCCCCCTCGAAGACGCGTTCCAGGGTACGGAGGTTGGGGTCATCCCCCTCTGCGCCGACCCGAAGGTACGCAGGGTATGCGTTCGCTCGAAGAAACTTTACGCTCGCTGCCCTCATTTTGGCTCTACAGAGGGCGTGGGTGCGCCTTTTTTTTGTGGGAAAACGACACAACAGGGAGGGTATACCCTGGTCGAAAAGCGACACACCTGGGTACACAGTCATTAACAGCAGTAAATGCACTCATACCATTGGTCAGCGCCCAATTTCACCCCGGTGCGTCCGAAAAGGCGCAGGGTATACCCTGCCGTGACTACTTTTCTCAACAACTGTACCCTGTTTTCGGAAATGTACCCTGACCTGACGGGAAATGAGACCCTTTCATCAATCATTTCCCCCGCAGGAATCTTCCCAACTCCTTTTCCCCTCCAACCATGGGATACCAAACGGCGAATCTTCGCGCCGAATAACAACCATGGCAACGGGGCAGGAAACAGTTTCCGTCCCTGCGAAACAACACCAACCATCACCTCTTCCGCTCTAAATCAACAACGGCCGGGCAATACCCCAGCACAATTGTTCCGTTTGGAAACATGGACACACGCGTACAATACCCCCAATATTCCGTGGACTACTGCTTGCTTCAGTCTATATGCGAGATGCACGGGTCACGCTATGAAAGCGAGACCGATCCAGCATGGTTGACATGCATATACATGCCGTGTGTGCGTGCGTGTGTTGTCTGTTGTGTCTCGATTGCGATGTGTTTCTTGCTTGAACCACTGCTGTAGCAGCAGCGGTCACGCTTACCAGCCAACCAAGCCGACCAATCAATCGATGTAGTAAGAAACGTCAGGCTTCAGCGGGATGAGCCAATAAAATACAACGCGAGCGCTCTTTCTTCTCTCTACCGACAGGGAGGGTGATTGAGTTGGACGACACAGCAGTGTCCTGCTGCTAGAGTAACGATAAGACTCGTGTGTGTGTGATTGATGTCAAGGGTGTGTCTGTGTGTGCTGGTCTTGCCTCTCCCCTCCACCCTATCTGCGGGCGCGAGCTCGCCGCCAGCACAGGGCCACACATTGGCACATACATGCATATATGCATGTCAACCATGCTGGATCGGTCTCACTTTCGTAGCGCGACCCGTGCATCTCGCATATAGACTGAAGCAAGCAGTAGTCCACGGGGTATTGTACGCGTGTGTCCATGTTTCCAAACGGAACAATTGTGCTGGGGTATTGCCCGGCCGTTGTTGATTTAGAGCGGAAGAGGTGATGGTTGGTGTTGTTTCGCAGGGACGGAAACTGTTTCCTGCCCCGTTGCCATGGTTGTTATTCGGCGCGAAGATTCGCCGTTTGGTATCCCATGGTTGGAGGGGAAAAGGAGTTGGGAAGATTCCTGCGGGGGAAATGATTGATGAAAGGGTCTCATTTCCCGTCAGGTCAGGGTACATTTCCGAAAACAGGGTACAGTTGTTGAGAAAAGTAGTCACGGCAGGGTATACCCTGCGCCTTTTCGGACGCACCGGGGTGAAATTGGGCGCTGACCAATGGTATGAGTGCATTTACTGCTGTTAATGACTGTGTACCCAGGTGTGTCGCTTTTCGACCAGGGTATACCCTCCCTGTTGTGTCGTTTTCCCATATTTGTTCTGTCCTCCTCTCTCGCATCTTCCCCGGCCCTTTTCCTCAGTAATCCCTCATCACACATACCCCGACTCCTCAAGGATACCTCATCATTGATACCCCGCCCCTTATCCTCAGTAATCCCTCATCGCACTCCGCTCCCTTTCCTCAAACCGCTCTCCAAAGCCCGCCGTCAGGGATCGAGCGGTAAGAGTATCCAAGCTGCTGGGCCTAGACCCTTCGTCAGTCCAGGCGGCGGCGGCGGCGGCGGCGGCAGCGCCGTCTCAAGAGGACGCCACGGACGGTTACTCCTGCGCCCCCGACGGCGACCCCGCTTCACCGGTAATCTCGGGGACCACAAAGGCCGCCCCGTCCGGTCCCGCGGTAGACCTACTCGGCGGCTTCTCGGACCAAGAAGGCGGTGACGGGGCGGGGGTTGTCGGCGACGACATTCTGGGTGCCGCCGCCGCCGCAGCCGCCGGAAGTAGCAGCGTGGACGATGTCTTCGGCTTGCATGATGGTAGTGCGGCTGCGGCTACCGGGCCACGGGGCGCGTCGGATGGGGCCGGGGGGGGGCTGGATGAGCTCCTTGGCATGGGAGACGGCGGTGGTGCCGCCGTTGGCTCTGGTGGTGGTGGTATTTTAGAAAGCTCTAGCCCTGCAGCGACTCCGGATAGCCTGTTCGGGGACCTTTCCGTTAAGGACGAGCCCGCTGGCGGCACCGGCGACGGTGACACCACTGCGGATGCCGAAGAAACGAAGACGGCGGCAGCCGGTGGCGGAGGAGGCGTGTCGGGGTTTGCGTTCATGGGGAGCGCGGGCGGCGGCGAGGTGGAACCGGCGAAGGCGGAAGAGACGGCAGCGGCTTCGGAAGGCGGTGAGTTTACATGGGTAGCAGGAAGGCCGTGGATAATTTTGGCTGTTTTTTCGGGGTGCCGAGATGCCCTCCCTTCGTCGTAGTAGTCACGGACGCGTACGCTTCCCCACCTGTGGTCCCTTGGTGGTGGTCCCTGTCGCCTATCTCCCCTCTATCCACACGACCATGCAACGGCGGGCGCGGACCTTTTGTCCGGGTTGCAAGACCGAGCATACCTTTTGGCGGCTTTGTGGGTCCCTCCATGAGCATTTGTCACAGATGCTTACGCTTCCCCACCCGTATCCCCGCGTGCGGCGCCTTTTGGCCGTGCAGCGGCGGGCGCGGACCTGCTGTCCGGATTCGGAGGAGCCCAGGCGGCGAAGAGCGAGGGCGGTAACCTCTCCGACATGCTCACCATGTCGCCGGGAGACATCGGCGGGAGCGGCAGCGCCGCCACCGCCCGCAAGACACCGATTGAGGTGGCAACCACCGGCGATGATGATTGGCTAGGCTTGGCCGGCGGCGGCAACGGCCCGGCGGCGAGCAAAGGAGGCGGTGCCGTCGCTCCTCCCGCCGCCTCCGGCGAGGGCGGCGTTGGTGCTGTGAGGGCGCCGGCTTCCTCGGGGTCGCTGTTGGATGACTGGGCAGGCGGCGGGGGGGCGAAGAGCGCGGCGGAGGGGCTGGCTGACCGGAACCAGATGCTGCAGCAGAAGGTGATGGTGGTGAAGTAAGGCGTTCGTGTCATTGGACCATCGGGTGTTTTTTGGGTATATTCTCACGTCCTTGTTATCAAGGCTGCTGCTGCTGCGTGCAGCGGTTCCATGCGGTGTAGAGTACACCACGGAGGAGCTGGTTCGGCGTCCTGTGCAGCGTTGTTTGGTGGAGAACGTGAAATGCAACAGATCTTCAGCTAACCTACCTACACGGTAGCGAACGATCAAACCCCGCGAGGTATTTCGTGAGAGCGCTCCAACTTCCGTCCGTAGCTGCATTGCCTTACAATACATCGTACTGCGTTTCGCGAAAAACCGCCGCCGTCGCTCGGCCCTCAAGAAGCATTCATTTGAGACCGACACTCGACAATTTTTCGCCAAACGCAGGTGATGCTGATGCAGCAGCAGCAACAGCAAGGGCGGGCGGGAGGCATGATGGGCGGGTCTTTTTCGTCCTTCACGGGCGCCTCCTCGGGCGTGGGTGTCGGGGCAGGGACATCAGCAGCAGCGTTCGGGGGGAGCGTGGGGGGTGGTACGCCGGCCATGATGCGCTACAACAGCGCCGGGGGGGTCCAGCAAAGAGTTGGTGTAGGGACTGCTGCTGCAGCTGCGGGGGGGCTGGGGATGAGACCTGTAGGTGTCGGAGGTGTCGCCATCAACGGGGGTTCGGGTGCTGGCAAGCTCATCCCCGACGTTAGCGAGCTGGGGGTGGGGGGCCAGCATCAGCAGCAACAGCAGGGGCAAGCGAAGGGCCAGGGCCAGCAGGCGGCGGCGGCGGCGGCGGCGGCGGGAGCGCCGAAAGCACCGGACTCTTTCAGCTTCGTGAGGGACGCGATGCACGACTCCATCAAGTAGATCCACCCGATGGCTTGAGACGGGCCGCGTGAAAACCACCATGGTTGCATGTAAGACAGAGGCCTGCCCTGTACGGAGGTACGGACGGTGTCCTTGATAGTTGGTTGTGGATCGAAAAGCGGAGGAAAGTGTCTTGCGAAGCAGCAGTCGTGCAGGTGCCGGGACATTGGCCATCGTCACAGGGGCCGGATATTACAAAGACACCTAAAAATGTTTTTGCCCTCTGTTAGATATCAACTGCAAATCCTCGAAATTGATTGTTTTTTTGTGGTCGATCTACGTGATGCTGGAGGATTTCGCCCGCAACCCCAGCGGAGACGACGTCGGTGGCGTTGATATACTTTGTTTGGCCTGTGTATGCTTTTTTCGTGAGGTGAAGGGATCAATCTGTCTTGGGATTGTTGACCTCGGTTCGGTCTCTTGTTGTTCCATATGGCGTCGAACACTGAGCGTTGAACCGGCATCAGGATGTCGTTTTGCGAGTCGTCGGTAGAGCCCACTTGGTTTGGTGGGTACTGTAGCCTCGTGATTCGGAAGGCATAGACTGTGCCCCTAGTGCCGGGGGTGGCACACAAGGACAGACGGTCCAACTTTCCTAAAAGAGCCAGCCGGTGCCTTTGATGTTTGCCGACATTCAGACGTTCAATGGCGTCACCTGTTTACCCTGCTCTTGGTTCGGAGTGAATTTTGAATTTGATAGTGCATGGCGTGAAGCTGTACAAGAATGCTCAGGAGGCACAATCGCGTATCTAAGAGCGCTCAACACCGTGGAGAGGCACTAGTTTACGTTTGTGGTTCTTGTGTGGGGTGTGGTCCAGTCAAGCGGGAAGACGGCAATGAAAACCGCGGTTCACTTGAAGTCGGTTCCGATCCCAAATGCAAAGTGAATCCTGCTACAGATTCAGCCGGCCTTTCGTTCTGGTCTTTGAGCCGTCACCTCCGCGACAACCACCCTGCTGGGCGATCCCGGGACTCCAAAGTGTGTTCACGTTTGGCGTCTTTCATTAGTAAGGCTCATCACGTATTTTCCTTGGGCGGCCGGTTAATCGGACGGACCAAGGCTCCCACCCTCAGAACGTACAGCTCGGGTCCCTCGCAGCGTACAAGACTTTTCTCCATCACTTTTATTCGCATAACTACGACACCGCTCGAAACTCTTCGGAACCACCTCGAAGGGCACGAAACCGACCCCTCTCGCTGTGTTTCCACCGGCCCCAGCTTCGCACAAGCCGTCGTTGGGCCCAAAACGACAACACGTGCTCGCCGGCATGTTTTACGTGCAGGCACCACTTGGCGCGTTGTACGTTTGTACAGCAGTAGCATGGGTACTTTTATGTTTCTTCAGCATTCAGCAAAACGTGCAGCGCAGAAATGTATGAATGAACTCTTTTGAAGGCGCGACTGTTTCGAAAAGGATCCATGCTTGAGTTGTGTCTACCCCATTGTGCGGAGAACTCCTTCCCGGGCGAAAATCCAGACCACACTCAATGCCCGGCCGGCCGTGAAAGAGGTTGAACAGTTGCAGTGGACGGGTAAATAATCTTGATATAATCTTGACGTCGAAGCAAACATATTCCGACGCGCAGTTCAGCGTCGGCCGCCCGGCCATGCAGCTTTTGTCTCCCATACGCACGGACAACGGTACTGCAGGTCGGTTCTGTACGCAGCGCGCACTAAATACGCGCGAGGGACAGCAGTCTCCGCAATGAAACCGGCGTACAATACCACACGTGCTTGTATCATTCTTACCCTCAAGTTGATTCCACATCTAAAAACGTCCTTGATAAACAACTACTACAGGTGACAGAAGAAGGCCGACAAGTAGGCAGACACCCGGATGTGGGAAAAAGCAGCAAGTCCGTTCTGCGCTACCGTTCGGGACAACCATCATACAGAGGAAAAAAATCGCCGTCTTGCTAGAGATATCCTCTACCGTTTGAGTTGCCAGTCTGTTGTGCTGCTACAAACGTCTCGTGGTATGTAAGTGGACTGGCTGCTGTTTCAACACGCAGGAACCCCGTCGTAAAACCCGTATCACGCAGCCGAAAAAACGAAACACGAAACGAATGGCACAGCACAGACAACACACATGGGCACGGACCCTTTAGCCAAGGAAAGCAAGGAAGAGCTAATCCTACCGGACCCATTCCGCGCCAATCGGCTGCCTAGGCAACCGGACTCGGCAACGCACGGGGATGACATGATACCCACAAATAGCACACAATGGCAAAAACACACACCATGGACGTGACGGTACTCTGTACCTTTCCCCCCACCCTGCTCGACTTGCGACGGCCCGAATCTACCTCCTTGTATCACCGCAAGAGACAGCCCGAATTCACTACATTGTTGTATCGCCCCCAAGACGGGCGCCGCTCTTACTCCTCTAAGCTTCAACTTGGCTATACCGGGAACAGGACAAGGCACGTCAACAGCCACAAAAAAAAAGACGACGACGACAGCACACTGCACCTTCCCCTCCCGTATACGACACAAGATAACACACCCCCTGGACCGATTTTCAAAGCTCGATTACTCCAAAAAGAAGAGGATGCATAAACGAAAAGATATGTTTTCGGAGAGCTCTCAGCCAGACGGCTTCAACGCCGCCATTTTGGGCGCTGCGGCTCTTTCTGCTGTTGATAAATCGAGTTATGAAAATCGGTCGAGGGTGTGTGTAATCTTGTGTCGAAAAACAGTATTCCGCTCGATTTGCGACAGTCCAAGTCTACTGCCTTTCTAGGCTTAAACTGTTGGCCATCCTGGGAACAGGGACAAGGAACGTCAACAAGGCAGAAAGAAAAAAAAGTGAATCAAACGAAACACGAACGAAACCAACAGTTGACCAACAACACCGCTAAGGACTCGTCGGACTCACAATGGCGACGGATGCTATCCGGCGTGGCCACCGCGAGCAGCGCTTGTCGAGATTTTCCTTGCAGATTGGATCAGACGTTTCAGAAGACGCAGGCTCACACGACAATGGGTCGTCGCCGCACCAGAAACGAACACACTGAACGCACAAAACACGTCTAAATATGTAAGTATCATGCATGTATGCCAAACAGCAGTCCAAAGGGCGCCGCACCCTCTCCCCGCACACGTGTGGGCAGGAGAGAAGAGAGGTGTCACAATTGCTGCTTTCGGCGCTCGCGGCTAGTGGTAGCAGCGTTGGCCAGCTCCTTCGCCTGCGCAGCCATGGACTCCAGCTCTCTTGCTTGCGACAGTGTCGACTGCTCCGGTCTGGCAATGACATGACAAGTACAGGGCGGGCAACCACCAGGCTGAGCCGTTAGCGTGCAGCCGTCCCTCGGTTAAGTGGACGCATGGTTCTTCGATAAACCAGGCATCCTTAAGAGCCGGGGGAAGAGTCCTTAAGATTGGTACCACCCCGTTATGTTGTACATTCCGCGGGGCACCATGCCTGTGAAAAAAAAAATGGCGTCCTTCACCGGGGGAATGAGTGTCCCTAAAAATGGTGTCCTTAAACGAGGGAACATCATCACTTGTGAATGATCATTTCGAGCTGGAAAACAAGGCAAGGTGTACGTAGAAGGGCTGGCTGCAGGGGTAGCAGACGGTGGTGATGGTCGAGGGTAGTACTGAAAGGTACGTGCTCCCTGGGCTATCGACGGCCGCGTTGATATGCTGACTTGTCACACACCCGTTGACTCAACGGCCTCCCAACAAAACCGGGAAATGTTAAATCCTCTAGCAGACTCATCAACCCCATGACTATCACAATTATCGGGTGGTTGGCTTGAAATAACAGAAATTGTCCGCGTCAGTTGGACCAGTACGGACATTAGAAGGTACTGAGCGAAGATCGGAACGGTTGTTAACATGAAGACAACAACATGCTGTACCACACCTAGATAGCTCAAGTGAGATGCACTGTACCATACGGGAAACTAAAGATACCACATCCCGCTTACGTCAATGATCTAACGACTACGGCATGCACGGCTATGAGTACACCCCCCCCCCCCTCCTCGGGATCTCGCCTGTCGTGTGCGCGTTCCACAGCCTCCTGCAATTTCGACAGCAGCGCCTTGGCCCCCTGCTCGAAGAGTATTTCCAGTTCCCTGTGCGAGAAGGTGGCGAGCAGTACCACCGGCAGCGGCACCAAACAGCGGTAGCGATAGCAACATCAACGGGAAGAGAGAAAATGCGACAAGGGGAGCGTGGTGGTGATCGACGTTGCAGAGAAAAACCTGCGGAACCACCTCTCAGCTGTGCAAGCCATTTTGCGACGGCGTTGCCTGTGAACGAGAGGTAAGCTCGGCGGATGAAACAATCAGAAACCGAAAGTCGCTGTTGCCATTGAACTTCGTGGGCAGCGAGTGTGAAACGAAGTTGAACGGTAGCAGCAAAACAGCAGGTGGCTCACGTTTTCCGGTACTTGAGAGGGACGAGATTGCACTACGCGAATCATGCACAGGCCAAAAGAGAGCGAGCTGGTGGTACAAAATAGTGCTCTCTCTCTTTTGAGAGGGGGGGAGTTGCAAAAACACAACCTGAATCGTCTATCGTACAAACCACATCGTCGTATCACTCCGCGTGCTCCAGTGGGGGTGCCACACGGTCTCACTCTCGACACGTGTTCCCGTTCAAAACCACGCGACGGTTTCGGCCCACTCTTTTGGTTTCGTGCTACCGCCAATCACCCGTTTTCCGCGAGGATCATGGCACAACACTCCCTCCCCCATTTTCCTTGGTAGCAACACGGCAAGAACGCTGCTCGTACGCTTCACAGATGATAGATACAAACAAATCGAAAACGACAGGACACGTATAGTACCCCCCCCCCCCCCCCCCCCCCCA